CTTTACTCAGGGTTGTTCTAATTGGATCAAGTTGTCCCAAAAATTATCTGAACATGAAAATCGATCCCGTGTTGAGACAGAAGAACGTCTTTCTTTCTTGAGCAAATTCAGCCGTCTTTTGGGCATTTTGTTTGACGTAAAAAATACCGGAGATAATTCAGCTGAAGCCTGCAACAAACTTGCCTTGTTTTTAGAAGGCATTCATGGCACAGATTTGGCAGCTGAAGTTTCTGTCTCATCTGCTCCCCAATGTCTGAAGTCCTGCAGTATTTGGTCAACAAAGATATGAAATCAGCGTTTCCAAACACAGTGATAGCATATCAAGTGTTTTGACAATTCCAGTTGCTGTCGCCAGTGCTTGTTTAGCAAACGTTGATCAAAACGTATCTAAGGTCCACCATATTGGAGGAAAGACTTTCAGCTCTGGCTTTGTTGTCTACAGAGAACAGCACCGCAAGGCAGGTGGATTTCAGTGATATTATCGCTCAGTTTGCTGCGACAAAAGCACTACGAGTCAAGTTGTAAGGAAGGCCCATTTGTATTTACTTGCACCCAGGCCCAAGTATGGGTGCGCTAGCCCTGCACTCCCCCTTCCCCCTGTTTTATGGCAACTCTAAATCAGTGCAAACGCAAATTATAGTTCAAAAGGTCACAAAAATAGTGCAATAGTCTCTGTGTGTAAAAGGGCTTATCTTTAGGGTAAATGCAATTATCTCTGTACATTTCCTTATATACAGTAAAGTTTAGAAATGGTGGGAATGTCACTGTAAAGTTTCAAAAGTGAGTCTGAAACATTTGCAAACTTCTATATGGGAGATGGGAGTTGCTGTTCATACATCAATACATACTGACGTGTATCACTTTCAAGATATACGTGACAATATCACAATCCCTACATAACACTGGCTTGTGTGAATGAGTCACAAAAAAAGAAGACTATATTGAAAAAGATTAATCTTGAACTGTGTATATGATATATTTCAGACATGTAGCCAGTGGTTTTATGGTCAGACTAGACAAAGATTTGCACCATGATCAGCATGGTAGGTGGTGGTAGCATCAACATATTGTGGGGATGCTTCGCATCAGCAAGAAGTGGGAAGCTTGTCAAGATAGACAGGAAAATGGATGGTGTAAGTACAGGTGAATGCTAGATGAAAACCTGCTTGAATCACCTAGGACTTGAAAACTTCAAAACTGGGTCAGAATTTCACACTTGTGCACAACAATGACTTGACACAAAAAACCAAAGCTACAATGAAGTTAAACTTCAATTGAATTAAAGTGGCTGGACAAGATGAGCCAGCAAGTGGTTCATTGAAGGTCCTGACATGAATCCAGTAGACGATGTATGGCAAGGGTTGACAGATGTAGTCCATCAGCTATACCCAATGAATGTGTCAGAACTGGAGCAATTGTGCCAGGAGGAAAGAAAAAAAATTACATCATCCCACTACACAAAACCTATTCAGAAATATTTATAGCAGCATTTGCTTCCAAAAATGCTTCCACTAAGTACTTACTGGCAGAATATGGTATGTATACAACAAGTAAATTACACTTTTTATGTCTTTTTGCATGTTTTGCTGCCATTCAGCCTCAATCATGTATAACAGTTTAATTTTATGACTAAATAAATACATTTTTTAATAAAAAGGTTAATTTGGGGAAAAAACTATACTTGTATTACATAAACATGTCATATTAATAGCTGGTGTTGCCTGCAAAAACCCTGCATGAACAAGATGATTTAAGCTTTTTCTCAATAGCAATGTTTAAAGACACAAATTAAGCAAGAAACAACAGGAAACAGAAGTGAAATAATCTTTATTTCATTTTAATGTATTGTTTTAGATCTAAACCTGTCTGAAGAATAATAATGAATAATAATGATCATTTCAATTCCAAATCTGTAAAAAGGTCTCTTGACAAAATAAAGACTTTTTTTTCTAATATTATTGTCTTTTTTCAAATATAACAATAAAGACCTTTCCTAGAAGCACAGGGAGATTAAAGTATTGATGAGACACCAGTCCATCAAGGGGCACACCCATAGACAGAGACAGTTTGTCCTGGCACCATTTTGGAAGTAGATAGAAATCACATGAACATATGAACCTGCAGACCCCACACAGAAGGTACTCCATGCCTAAACTGAACACGGGGTTTAAGAGCTGAAAGGCAGCAGAACGTACTATCACAGTACAGTGCCACCCGCCCAAAGTGTGTGATCAAATTGAGAACTGGTGGTATACCAGTAAATTCTTGTTGTAAACAGTTTGACAGTTACAAATGATAAAAATCTATTTACCAATCACTCACTGTCTTACGTAAGAAATGTACAGTAAGTATATATCACCTGCAAATACCTCCTATCTCATTTTGTCTCATGCAAACCTCCTCCATCCCATGTCCTCCTTTGAAGCTAACATTTGGTTCATTCCTCTCACTCTCCGAGTTGAGTGTCCTTGTGCTATGGCCAGGGGGGTGACCCTCAGGTAAGTGGGTTAAGCCAATACTTAAAATACCCAATAAAGACTCACAAAGCAACCGATTTAGTTATTTATAATGCAATAGTTTTAAAATCTGTTGTATAAGGAATTTTTAAACCCATTTCAGTACCAAAACAATGACAGAAATTAAGTAAAGGGAAGCTGAAAATCTAAAGAAGGTGAAATCATATTTGTCCCTGGAGGAATGACCTTATAAAATGTGCTGAATTCAAACAAATACCTCTATGCTTAAGCAAAGCAAGACAAAATGTTTTGAATCATGTTCTGACGCATTTAAAATTACGAAGATGTCATGGTGTGTAAAATATAAATGCAGGCTGTTTGTTCTGCCTGAAAAATGAAAATGTTTACCTGTGTAATGATGTATAGTATGTGGGCAACAGTGAGCAGACACAAGTTTGGAAGCACTACCGGGCTTTAATCTTTAAAAGAAATCTCCATCAAAGTGGCAGGTGGGCCCTATACTCTTTGAATGAAATGTTCAACATTTGTTTTAAATTTTCTTATTTATTATTTAATTCATGAAATGACATTCTGCAAAATATGTTCAATAACTGCACATTGTCTTCTGCTAAACCCCTTGATTTAACTTAGGTGCACTATAATACAGCTCTAGGCCATGCTTCTGGGGTTAACATTCTATCTCTGACACTTTCTCGAAATAAAAACTCCTCAAACAAACCTGTAGGGTGAGAAGAATAAAAGAAATAAAATGAACATGTATAGACCATGAAATCACTGCACACACACACACCCAAAGTACGCCTACGAGTATATGTAAAAACACTCCCACTGCAGTTAATTTCTTTTCTTAGTCTTTTGCCAAGAATACCTGGAACTTCCAGGACTTTTTTCCACTGTGACATCAACTGGGTATTTTCAAGGTTTTCTGATTCCCTAAAAAGGTTTTCCATAATTTAACTTTTAAATTAACGTCTTCTTTTAAAACAGAAGAAACCCTGTTCTGAACTCTGATCAAGGAGTCAAGGAGATACCTTTGTATTTTTTATCCTAAGACATAATTGTGGCTGTTTTTTCACAAATACGATTTTTTCAAGAAATAAAGACTGCAATTCGAGAGGGACTGGCATCCCGTTCGGGGTGTACCCGATTTGTGCCCATCACTTGCCAGGTCAGGCTCCAGCTCCCCAGCGACCCTGAACTGGTTAGAAAAGGGATGGAAGGATGGAAGAGTAATCTTCACAAGAGTAATTTGTGCTTGAGGATCTTTTCCCTGTACTCTGAAAAGACTGGATGAAACACAGCTGAACATAGCAATCCTCATTAAAATGAAATACAGCACACAATCCAGAGTGCAAGTCTTGCGGAGAAAATATTTTACTAAAAGAAAAAGGAAGCTTTATCGGTCAGGAAGAGGAAAATCTTCAATGATACAGGTTGGAATGCATTATAAAACATTTGCTGTCAGTGAAGTAACATTATCTACATATCTTAAAAGATAAATTGCCTAAAAACAAGGTACGTTTGTTAAATGTTTATAGTGATAATACGCAGGATTATTTTCGTGTTATGTGTTCAGAAGAAGAGTAAAAGGCCAACAGTCTTTATCAAACACACTAATCTGAAAGGGCTAAATCTAAACAGGCTCTCAAACTTTATTGCACCTGTCAGTCTAGTACTACTGTATATGAGCCTTCAAAAGGAAATGCTGCTGTTTGTACCATATTGCTGAAACCAAATAAGTTAAACACCAAAATATCAATCACATTTTACCATATTGTCACATTTAAACAGGGTGTGATCTCAAACATCAAAATGTGTGAACAATTACAAACAAATGGAGGAACTTTAGCCCATTTAGCTAGTTTCATTGGATATTGCTGAAAGATCTGAACATCTCATCCAGCTATTTCTTGAAGGATAGGTACCGTATTGGCTTAAACAATTGCGTCCCATAACTCTGTTTACTGAATAAAGAAGTGCCTTTTGTGCTCAGTTTTAATTGCACTTACTAGCAGTTTCCACTTTTGTCCTCTAATTTTTTGTGCTGTTTCTTACGGAGATGTGGTTATGAAGATGACTTTGATAATTCTGAATGCCTAAATCAAGTTACCTTGTAGTGACTGTAGTATTTAGTCTGTAGTCTAGTTCTGGACTAAAATGATGCCGTTATTTTCGAGTAGGGCTTTACACTATGTATGTTAAAAAATATTGTTCGCTTTTAATTTTGTGAAGATAAAGATAAAATACATTTAAAAATGAGCCACAGCCACATTATGTGCTTCAGTTAAGAGAATCACTCAAGGTTTTCATCAATATTTTTCCAGAATTGGTAATCCAGTGGGCCGTTGTGGATTGACAGTCAGTATGGCTGACTCACAGCTCTCAGGTCCTGCCTTCAATTCCCAAAAAGCTGGCTATCTTAGGTACCGTCTCTATGTTGTCCCCTGTGTGCATGCTTGAGTGAATGCATGTGCATGCCCTGCAGTGGATAGGTACAGTATCCTTTCCAGAGTGTAGTCCTACCTTGTTCCTCTGTGCCTGCTGGGTTAGACTTCTCAATGACTGATGAAACATTGCAGCAACTACAAATACATTAGAATTAGATCAATCAGTGATCGGTTAGTTTAACACAAATCCTTTTGTTTTATTGGAATCATAATAAAATACACAAGGCTAAGTATTGGCACTAAAATATCCGGAGGACAACATTAAAGTGCTCGTTTTATTTACCTGTACTTTGTTATGCAGTTCCCTAATAGGGAGGGTACATTCTATAGACCAATGCTTAAGTATTGCATATCTCAACATTCATAAAATATATTTATGCATAAGTCACAGATAGTTATGAAGGTAACTATGTGAAATACATTTTTAATTTAATTGGATACTCTTCCCAAGCCTGAAAGTGATAAAAGATGTGAATTATATAAACCAGCTAAACCTGGGGCAGTGGTAGAACAGGAACAGGAATTTTGTTGCTCCTCCTAAATCTATTACTTGCTGCAATATTTAGGTAGAACTTTATAATCTGTACAATAGAAAACCCTTTTTGCTGCATGAAGGTTTCTAAAAAGATGAAAGTAGTTCTCCTTTCTGAAACAAAGGGGAAATAGAGGAGTGCTTCATTTATGTTATTATGGCAGAAGGTCTTATATCTGGTCTCTGGAGCTTTCAGATTTGTGGGACACAGACCAACTTCCCTTGAACACAGATCCTGGCAGTCAAATTTAAAAAGTCCTTCAGAAACTGCAATAGCTATGATAATCAGTTAACACGATAAACTTCCAAGGAAACACAGAAGCAGATAAACAAGCAGTACACTTAATATGTGATGAAAAGAAATGTACAGTAGCTGCATGCAAGGACATGTAATCGGCACCACTCCTGTTTTATTGTCCATTCTGTTTACCTATTCACATATACAGCAACAAATACTCTACTTCTTGGTGACACTAGGAGCCTTACTATTTCCAGCAAATAAAGGAATGGAAAGAATAAAAGAGCAGCAACCAATGTAAGAAAGTTAACACAACCACACAGAGAAAACATTTGTGCTTCTTTTCAAATATTAAAGTCTCTTATTTCGCAAATTAAAAATCTGAATGTTTACAAACAATACAGAAATATTGATAATGTACATTTGTTTTAACATTCTCTCTTTTCCTCTATAGAAGATGAAGAATGAATCAACAATCTGGGATATGTCACCTCACTGGACAATCATAAAGCATATAATTATTTTAGAAGTATTTGTGAATCAGGGATAAACAAAGCAGAGTAACTGTAAAAAGAGGCTGTAGTCATGAAAGGAAAGGAGTCAGTTCCATATTATTGTACGCACTTTGTTTCAACTTTAACCCCTCTCTCTATCTTCAATTAAGAAGATAAATTAACAGGTCCTATTGGATGAATATGTTAAAAAAACAACTGTAGCAGCAACTGTATGTTAGGTTTTAATACATAATGACTTTTAGAGATGTATAGTATACTTAGAACTAAATACAGTATTTACCATCTTAGAAAACACTGGTACAGTGTGGTACTGTGTAAAGACATACAATATCAGTGAAGGGTGTGTGTTTTAACATGTATGCAACACTGTTGCTTTTTTCCCTTTTAATGACTACTCCTTTGCCTTTAATTTTGTTTATACTATTATGTTTATACACACATACTTTTTCAGACTTAGATATACTCTTCTTGTCTTTAATATTTCAATAAATTAAACAACAATGTAAATAATTTGAATATTCCAATACCCTACATTGTGCTGAGTCTCTTATTTTATCACTTATTTTATCAGTGCAAAGGTTAATTGAAAAGGAACTGTAGTTTTGCTTTATCATATTTTTTTTTTATTTTATTGCCACTGTAAATGAAAGGGTGTATTTATTTTCTGTTGATGGTTTAGTATTGTTAAAAAAAGGAAGTTACAAGACATAGAGACTTACAGAAATATTACAGAGTGGGAAAATCAATAATTACAATAAATAATCATAATCCCCAAATTGTAAAGATATGCTAGTAATTTCCCTTTGGCCTTTACCAATCATGACCAATCCTAGTAAACCCCATCAATGAATTCATTTCTCTGTTCTCCTTCCCACTGATGGCTGATGAGTGTTGAGTGTACTTTTGCACTATGCCTGCTGGTGCATCATCCAGGTAGGTGCTTCACATTGGTGGTTGTGGAGGGGAGTTACCTTTAAAGTGCTACAGGTATATAAGGGAAATTAATTATTCATTATTATTATATGTCAAGAATATACCTGAGTGGTTGGTATAATTGGAGGTATTTTTTTCTCTGGCACAGCTTTGATGACAGAGTAATCAATTAGGCATGCTAGGTTCAGCAAATATTTATTAGTAATGAAAATAACACACACACACACACACACACACACACTAAATAACACAATATACTGTATAACATAAAGCATACAAGTTACTCTATTTACAAACAAGGTATCTTAAAGGCCTACAGTATGCCCTGCCCATACTTAGAAAAACCTAAGACTGCTACTAAGTATTCAGAATCCTACGTAATACCTATAAAGGCCAAACAAGAAAGAAATACATCCCTTCTAAAAAAACAAAATCTGACCTAGAGTTAAATTTCTCTTCCTATGAATCCAGATGCTCCACAGTGAACGGGACCGTACTGTCATATTCTCAACAAAAATGCATCTACTCTCCAGGAGTCATTTTGAACCTAGGGATTCTTTATACAGGAAAAAAGAGTTTCCTTAACATGGTTCAGATACTTTAAGTATTTCAGGTCTTTAAGGTTGATCCGAACAAGGACCTCTAGCCTGGGACATGCTTCTGGATGTCCTTATGAGTCATATGAGTCTTTGTCCCCTGTCCCATGCTCTTACACTGTTCTCTTTTCTGAGTGTCCCCTTCTCCCTTGTCCTTTTATCCTGTTTTCCTGGATTTTTGATGACTCTTAATGATTTACCAATAATTTAATTAACTAAGGTAAGGCAAGGTAAGCATTATGATTTTTTTTGGTTTCGGATCCCCTACAACTCAGCAAACACCTGCTTTCTTGCTTTAAAAATCCTGAAGAGAACTGCAGTAGTTGATACTAGCTAGATGGTGACTTCCACCATCTATCTGTAACAGTATTTATGCAGTATATGGTCAACGGTTCTTCTGGTAAAGAAGAATGAATCTAGATGTTTCCTTTAAAATATTCAACAATAATTGCAGTTACCAAAGGTTTCTATCAATGTGCATAGCCACATACCGACTTCAATGTTTGATGACCACAATAAGGAAAGAAAATGTTTTTCTCTCTCAAATGGAAGCAACCAGAACCCTGTCCAGGGTGTATCCTGCTTCTTGTCCATTGTTGCTGACATGGGCTCCGGCTAACTGGGACCCTGCAATAAAGTGCAATAAAAAATCAATAAAGTGATTAGAAAATGGATGTATGGATAGTGATCATGCTACTTTTTACAAAGAGGATTTGCATGCTGTGCTGTATACTGTATGGCTGATTACGCTAATATAAAGTATACCCTCAAGAAAGAGATACATTAGGGAATAAATTGTCATTTAGTCAATATTTACAGTCTTTCACCAAGATAAGTTGCTATTTCCAGAATAAAACATACTGAAGAGATTACTTAAAAACATTTTAAACACCTGTGATTAAGTTTCCCTGTGATTAATACACCACATCTGCCACAACACATCTGCCACTTTGTGGGCGAAATTGAGACAACTGTGTCCTGGAACCTCTGTGGGCTTGGGTTGCAATGAAGAGGCTGCACATCCAGATTATGAACAGAGTCTTACTGCCTCTTGAAGATCACCATGTTCAATGCAGGTCATGCTGGTGGCTATTTGCAAATGCCACACATTTGAAAGATGACCTTGACCTTTATAATAAAGTGAGGGCTGAACAGGCTCTTAGATACCTTCAATAAAGCTTAAATTCCTGTATATTGGACATAGATGTGAATATTTTATAATCCACATTATATTTCTATATTGCCCCTGGAAAATCTGATTTCTCTCTGTAGAACTGTTTTTGGAGGGCTGATTTGTTGCCAGACTCCAAGTTAACTATTCACTGATTCGTACAATATGCAAATCCTCTGTCACAAGTTGAGATTCCTGGTAAAAGCTGAGTAACTCTCCCATGATTAAGGGCAGAATTAAATAAAATCATAGCTTCAACCCACACACCAGCTGCAAATAACAAATCCTCCAGTATTTTTAATATACAGCTGATGAGCATGTTTGAATGAAACCAAGCCTATAAACTGTCAGGAACCTAGCACGACTTGGAATATTCCATTTCTCTTGAGAAAGCTGCCATGATATGGAATAGCATTATTTAGACAATTCTTTATACAAAGGGCTGTGGGAATCTGGAACCAGCTACCCTGCCATTATATTGAATCCGATGCTTTGGCTTCTTCCTTGAAACACCATGTAATAAGATCCTTTGATAAGTTTCTGACAAGCACAGAAGTTATATAGCCTCCTCACATTTATAGCATTTTTTTACCTTCTTGAAGCTAATCACTTTTTGCGTAGATACATGTTATTGTAAATACTGATAGAAAATCTTTTAAATGTATATACCACATTTAATGACAAGAATTCTTTCTTTTTCATAATGTATTTTCAAAAGTATGTCTGCAAGGCATATACTGCAAATATACTGTACCTTGGTACAGTAATATATTTTGTAAAATGTTGAAGATACAGTTTCATATATTTAATAAACTAAGACATAGCTTAAATTATTTCATGAATACAAATGGGGATATACAACTGCAAAGGAGTTCAATGACATTTCAAAAGAATTAAAAGTCAATGGAACAGATTAAATTGACTATGAATTACTCTCAAAAGTGCAATTAGACATATGACAATGTTTTTTGTAGTTTGAGACAGTGACATGTGCAAAGTGCGTTAAGTGCAAATGAAGAGCACATCCACAAATTTCAGATACGAGACACTTACTTTTTTAAGATCCTGAGTCTGAACTTTATTTTGAAGTTATTCGAACGTTAAAATGACCTTGTCATTTTCGGGTTTAAATGACCGTTTGACTTCTCCCACACCGTCAGCTTGTATTCAATATTACAGTATAATAATATAAATGAGCTGAGCGTAACTGATGTTCATTCCCAGCAATGGACTCTAATTTAGTAAATTAGGTAAAGGTAAATAATAGAAGAAATGATTAAATAAACATTTTCAAATTCAAATTAGTTTACAGTTCTCCACCAATTTGCTTGCTACACCTGCCTAGTAGCAATGCACAGAATCTAACCTGAAGCAATCTCGGGAGGCTTAAATACAGTCTTTTTCGGCAACCCGCCCTCTAGTTCCCTAGTACTCCGTCCCATATATTCATATTAATGATGCACAAACACGCCTTTCCTGTGTCCAAGCGGAGTTTTGTACGGCTGGCGAAACCCCGCTATCTCGCGAGTTTTGCCTGCAGTCAGATCCCGCCCCTTGCGATGCCCAGCTGCAGTATATACATACAGCAGCGAGCCGAAAGCATTGGTAGTGTAGGAGGAGTTGCCGTAAGGACGTTAGAGGCATCTTGGACACAGAAAGAGCATAAAAGAGACTGATACGCTTTGTGTTAGTCAAAGTGCAGTGGAAGCGAGGGGAGCCTCGTTCAGCATTGTTGCTTTCATCCGTGCCTTTTATGAATTCAATCCTAAATTGATTCGTTTTGCACTCAGTTAACGTTGATTTACATCCGCATGTTTAGGGGGTTGCTACTACGGGAGAGCAAACGCCTTCTGCAGCAATCGGAGGAACTGCATTTTACAGAAGCCGGCATTCACAGGCTCTCCTATCGCAAACTAAAGAGCGTGCCCGAAAGGACTTTTAATGCTTTGAAGCCTGTTTGGGAGTTATAATCTACGGTCTTGTGTTTGGACTCGATTGGAGACAAAAGAGCACATAATATAATTTAAAAGAAACTGTTCTTTAGTTATTCAGCGGCTGCATTTGCCATGTCAGCGCCATCATCGTCCACTCCTCCCGCCGAGGGAGGGAAGCCTTCTCCGACCATCCCGGCAGGTCCAGGCGGGACTGCTCAGGACTCGCTGTCCGCTGATACCGGGCTGAAGCCATTGGGTCCGACTCCGAGCCAGAGTCGCTTTCAGGTGGACCTGGTGGCAGAGGCGGCCGGGACCAACGCCGGCGGCGACAAGCCTCGTGGAGAAGAAGCATCCTCGCGGGCATCCGCTCCAGCTGCAGGTAAACCAGTGGAGCTGCCGGTGCAACCTGCCGGCGCCGAGGAGGCGAAAGGGCGGTTCAGGGTGGTCAACTTCGTGGACCCGAGCGGGGCCAGCCCTCCGCAAGATGCCGTGGTTGTACCTGCGGAGGGTATCCAGAATGGGGACACAGTCATGAGCGAGGGGAGCCTTCATTCCTCCACCGGAGGCCAACATCACTATTACTATGACACCCACACCAATACCTATTACCTGAGGACTTTTGGCCACAACACCATCGACGCGGTGCCGAACATTGACTTTTACAGATTAACCGCAGCGCCGCTTGGGGAAAAGCTGATCCGACCCAGCCTTGCGGAGCTACATGATGAGCAGGATAAGGTACAGTGCGAAGAGAAACACTCTCGCAAAGTGCATAATACGCGTGGCACAGGCTTGTATTGCAAGTAACAAGACTGCTTGGCCGTCTTGTCCCAGAGATACAGAGTAATAGTCTTTACGTTGGGTGACTTCTGAGAAATATATGTATAGTAAGAAACGGGAGCAGCCTTTTGAAATAATTAATTGTTGGGATTGTTGCTATAGTATTAACAGAAATGCACATGCATGTTTTTTTTAGGAATGATACATTTCACATGCAGTCTGGAGATACTTCTAAAGTTTAACCCGCATCTCAGACGAGCTTTTTTTGCCCATTGCTTGGACTTGGACATTGTATGAATGCAAGAGAGAAACACTAGTTGTAAATTGTGAATCGCTGTGTTTTTCTTCTTAGTTAACGTTTATAATAATGGGACAACACATTACATCCAAAACAGGTGTTTCATTATGGGCCCATATTATTCCTTTTTCCCCCCCACCTCTAAACAGGTACAGTAGGTGAGGCTAGGTGTAGTACTGTACCTCTGCTGGTACTTTCAATTAAAATAATTGGCCTAACTGTGTACATCTGTAAGATGTATGATATTGATTAACAACTGTATGATTATTTCCAATTACATCATTTTTGAAAATGTGGATTTGCTTCTGCTAGTGTCTGTACTGCCGGTAATGAACAAAATTCGATAGTTCGTATATTATAAATCATTTCCTGTATAATTTGCATTTGCCAGTAACAGATCTTCATTGCACTGACCAACCTTTTTATTATACCTTTTCTTTAAAAAATACTTTATTACAACTTGGTAATGTTACCACAGACACGACTGTAATAAAACAGCATACAAATGTTATGCCAATACAGTTAATCCTGCCTGCCTGGCTGTCGGGAGGTCTTAAAGTCTTATGTCAGTTTCCACAGCTGGAGTAGGGGAGAAAGGCCAAATGTCGTAGTTCTGACAAACCCAGTTGCAATTAAAATGTAATAGATTTATCTTATGTCATGTCTGTGGAAAACGTACAGTAGGAAGTACATGTACTTTAGTCTTCTGGAATATTTTTGTTCTCTTGTGTATGGTAGGCCTGCAGTTTATATTAATACTGTCATACAGGGCAGAGTTCTGTGAATCCTCTCCTTCTTGACATCTTCAGTAAGCAGCGCATGTGCTCTGTGGACATGTTTTGCTTTTGGAGCAATTAAGCCAGTGAATGGACAATCAAAACGTGTCACTCTTCATTGCCCATCACTCCTTTCATTGGCAGAAATCAAAACTGAAGGGCAAATATGCAGGACAAAAAGTGTTTCTAGTCTGTTGCCCTAGCATCTTGCCTAGAATTCACCTTCTGCTCCGTTTCCTTCAGAAATCTATGGGGAGAAAACAGGATGTGAGCAGAGCCTAGCAGTTTGACGTACTGTGTGTGAGAATCTCCTGCAGATGGTCCAAAAAATTACCCTGGTTCATTTACAGTTCCCTTATATTGCAATTTAAGAATGCAGGTTATTGTAAGATGCTGCATTATCGAATGTCATTTTTTTTTAAATAATTAGGTATGGTAAATGACAGTAACTGATATTTTTCTCTTTTGGCAGCTGAGTATTATATCAGTGCCATTTCTGTATAATATTCTCAAGGGTTTCTTTGTAACTACTATGCAATTATGTAATAATTTTAGAATGTTATGATGCCTTTGTTTACCTCCAGGCTTCCATTACCCTTGAGTTCATTCTTTTAAAATGTGGAAAAAATGCACAAATCCAAGTTATCCTTTTTTACTATTGTGGTGACAGGATCGCGGAGATTGAAGTAAATTAAACATCTCTAAGATTAGCTCCTGAATACGACGTTGAATAGATTGGTGAACACTGTTAAACAATCATTTTGGCCAGGAGGTTTAGAAAACTGGGGTAAAAAAAACCAGTACAGTAGTTTATTCCGAAAGGACTTCAATCAGAATTGCAGGCTGACCCTTCCTTTCCACCAACATGCTGAGCAAGATATTTTTGGCCGATCTGTTGAAAAGCACAGAAGGACAATGTTCAGACACTCCCGGAGCCGTTTTGTCTTTGAGCCCTTGAGTGTGTGGTGCTCCTGAGGAAATATGCTGTTCCCAAGAGGGAGCTTTCAAGGTTATCGCAATGTTGTGCACAGCTGCTCTTTCACACAGCTGTGCACTATGTCATTTGTGGGACAGTCGTCTCGACAGCAGGTTGATGCCCGTTTTAGAAGCTCAGACCACGGGTGAGCTTCATGCAGCCATTCCAGTAAACACCCGTGCCCGGTTATTTGTGTAGAATTCCATGGTCTTAACTCTTACTTTTGGAAACTGCAAACTGCCCTCTAAGCTTAAGGTGTTATTTCTGTTTGAAGAATTAAATGTTTCTTTCTTTGTGACCTGCTTCCTCAAAACAAGACTCTGTAAAAACTACTCTCCTTGGTACTTTTTTTTTCCCTCATTCTTGTTGCTAAGATAAATAATAGAAGCCATAGACAGCATATTATGTTTAAGATCACTGATATCCTACCTTATAGTGATTGTATCTGCAAGACGTTTAAGTGGATCTAAGATGAAAGTCTTCTTATTTTTGGAGACCCTATTATATTTTATTTGAGTAAAGCAGTTCTCGCACTAGTGAGTATTGATATAATCTCTGTATGCAGGAGGTAGCATATTCTAGTGGGTTGCACCTTGAGCAAGGAATTTTAGCAATTTGAGCAATTGTAGCAATTTGAGCAAGCCCAGTTGCTCCAGTCCTCCCACCTGAATAAATGGTGACCAGCATTGCTGGGGGGGTGGGAATCCCTGCAATGTACAAGCATCCCTTCCAGGAAAGAGCCATGCGCTGACTAGGCTGCTTAATGCTACAGAAATCAATAGAATCGTGAGCCACTGTTGCTCTGGTATAGATTTGTCCTTTTACCTATCTATGCAACTTTAGTGTGTGTATATATAGACACTAGCTACATAGATTAAAAGATACACAAGACTGGTCTAATGTGTAGTGAAGGATAAGTCAAACTTTGAAGAAAGTTCTTGCCTCATAAAAATGTCGCATGTGGCAGCCATTCGTTTTCAGTTCTTGCAAAACTAAAATAGTGAAGCCCAGTTTGTCTGAAAGGGATCTGCGCCTATCCCATCTGGTTGTAATGAGGGGGCATGGACAAAGGTTTATGTCTTTCTGGTGTAATAGCTCCAAAGGTCTGAAGATAAAATCTCTTGTATTTTAAGAAAGATGAATTCTGTTTGTTCACTTATTCCCTTGGAGGGACCTGAATCCAGGGGGGAACGTCACAAAAAAGGAACAGCAGCAGTTGTTTGGCACAAATGGGATCACAGCTTCTAACCTTGAAAGATCATGAGATAATTATATAGTTTCTGGATGGGTGGGATGCTGAATGACATCTGTATTTTTTTTACTTCAGGCTTGCCATATTACCACCTTAATGTTTTTTCATCACAAGAATAACGAGCAAATTCAATTAATAAGCAGAGAGTTTGGTGAACTGACCTTTTCCTCAAACTAAAGCGCACTGTCTCATTTTGCAACAGTAAGGCTATCCAGATCAGCAGTTGCCTGATGGGATGGTGGTGGTGGTGGTGGTCTGACATATGGTAGAGGCTCTCAGTGTCCATCTTGGTAAAAGGCTAACTGTTTGAGTTGCAGCTTCCGAGAAATGCTCCACACCATGCTTGTGGAGACTCTTAAACTATTGGAAGAGGCTGAACTTTCACTGAAGTTAGAGACGAATGACATGATGGGGGAATTCAGCATTCATTTCACATATTTCCTAATCGGTGGTGTTTTACTGAATGGACTGAGCTTTTCTCACAAATGAGGGACAGTTTCTAAAGGAAGCTGCAAAATATGCAGGAAAAGGCTTTTGGATCTATTAGGGTCATTTTTGAACGAGGAAGAAGTCTTCTTATTGCTAAAAATAACTTGTATATTATCTTAAAAGTAGAAAGACCTCCTTTTAGTCTCGGGAGTGGAATCTCTTTTTTTAAGAGATGAGATGAGGAAAAAGTTGAGCAACACTGAGCAGCTAAACAAAACTTTAAGCCCGTCGGCTGTAGAGAGCAGCTGGTGTGAACCTGATATAGTCTAGTCTAGGAAGTGAAATCGTATTACCTTCAGTATTGGCATAAAATTGAAATTCATCATTTTGAGTCATCTAAACTAATCATATAGTCCCAGTACAATGAGAGCAGTTGCTTAATTCTATACAACTGCATTGATACCCTAGAAGTAGTATCCAGATTTTTCAAAAGGACCTTTTTTATCCTGTATTAATCCTTCAAGTATATATAGCAGTAAAGAGGACTCGGTTAAAGTTATTTACTGATTTTTTAAAAAATGGTAAAATATCCATATTTCTCAGATAACATGGTAATATTTTTAATGTGTTAATTTTCAATCAAGGATTGAAAGTTTTATAGTTTTCTTTTTCAATAAATTAATAAATATGCTGCACGATATTGACCATCCAGTCCAAAATCCTTATGTAGCATGTTTATTCACTTTATACCAAACAATTGGAGATGGTGGAATAAACTGAATTATTAATATCTTCATGCTAATGTTACCGAATGTTGAATGCTGGACAAGAATATAGTTCACTGATTTATGACTGCTCCCATTAGTTGTACTGTATCTGTCCAAAATAACTGTACTGTGCAGTAGTCTGTCAATGAAGTCCACACCTTGTATGTATCCACATTATCTGGGAGGGAAGCTCTTTAAGTATGTAGTTTGATGGGGGTAAGAACAGTGTATTGTGTATTTCTGTGTGGTAAATAACTAAGTACATCCCCTAAGATTCTATGCTTTAACCTATTTAGAGATTGTACCTCCTCACCAAGGCCTAATGGATAAAAGTAACCTCGTTTGGTCGGGCCTAAATCCCATAGGTACAGTGGCAGAGACTAAATAGAGCTGTACACGAGAGCCTTCAACCATCACAGAACTGAAGCAGTTCTGTAAGGATGCAAGTCCCAGCTGATTT